GACATCTGGAAGATGTCCAGTCTATCCGACCTAATTAACATATTATCCTTTTATTAGTGTGGATAGTAGAAGATCATTAATAGCTATCAAGTACATACTGTGTGGCAGGCAAAAGAATAAAGGCTTTAGATGGATGAACTTATGTACCCTTGTAGACACCAAGACGGGCTCCTGGTGGCTAACTGGGCTCAAATTTAAAAAGCAGAGCCTAGCAGCAGGGCCTCTCACACAAGCCACACTTCAGCAGTGAGAAGCCTGCACTAAGTTGCCTGCCTTCCACACTGAACTGCCTGCCTGCACTGTGTTCCTGCAGTGTGAGCCAACCTTTATAAAGGAGTTTCTGGAATCATATTTCAACCAATAGACTAAGACTTTCACCATCCAATCAGAGCTTCCCAGCTATATCTCATTAACATCCTCACCAACCAATCAGAGAAATCCATTCTGACCAATCAGGACACTGTTTTGTGAACCAATTAAACAGTGAGGATTTGGAGTCCTCATTTGCATGAGGACAGATCAAGCAGAGACCAGGAGCAGGGACTTCTCTATACATAAGTCAGTTCCTCTCTAATTCTGGTAGCACACTTTCCCTTTCCCCCCCAAGACTAAAGACTGTGTTTCCCCACTGGAGCAGAAATGCCAAAGACATCTTACAGGACCAGAGAGGGGCAGACCAAGGCAGAGCGGAATGGGCTAGAGCAGAGCTGTCAGAGAGAGGCCTCACCTAAGGGCCACCTCACAGCTGTGCTGTTCCATAGCTATGCTGTTCACAATTGAGTTGTATCATGACTGAGCTGTTTGCATTGAATAAAGGTTCCTTCTTCACTACACTCCAAACTGGGGATTCCTGTTGGTGTTGAATTGGTGCCAAAGACCATTGGTAGACAATCTTCATAAAAACTTGAGAAGGCAGTTGCCATTATTATCTCCCACTTTAAAGATGAGAAAAGTGAAGCACAGAGAATGAAATAACTTGTCAACAGACACACAAGCTGAGACAGTGTAACCCCATTAAAGTTAGTATTATTCAAAAAGAGGTCTTATAATAGGAGTACTTTGGCCCTAGAGCTTTAAGTACTAGAGCTTCCTCTATAGCAATGGTTCTCAACCTTCCCTTCCTAATGCCGCAACCCTTTAATAAAGTTCCTCATGTTGTGGTGACCCCCAATTTCATTGTTACAAATTGAACATAATTAAAGCATAGTAATTAATCACAAGAGCAATATGTAATTATATATGTGTTTTCCGATGGTCTTAGGCAACTTCTGTGAAAGGGTTGTTTGACCCCCAAAAGGGTCGCGACCCACAGGTTGAGAACCGCTGCTCTATAGTAACAACTCAGGAAATTTAGTGTAATATATAACGATGATCTGGCTTAAAGAGCTCAGGAATATGTGTGAACGAACCCCAAAGGAAGCAGTAATAACATCCATCACTGAGTTCAGTATACTATATCTAATATATAATGAAAACACAAGACAAATTTGGAAACTTTGCCATAACCAAACAATAATATAAAATAAAAACTAGTGGCTTATCTTCAAATCATAATGAAGCTGGAAAAAATACTTATATTTTACCCAAGATCTAATGGTTTTATAAGAGATTTTTTTTTAGTCACCTGAAATGTCATAAACCAGCTTCTTTTTAATCTATACTAATGAAAGGGTAATATGCCAATTAGACCAGGAGACCTTCCAGACAAAGCCATGGTGGCGGGGCTGAGGCAGAGGCAATTAGGGGCTATCAGGACAGGAGGGGAGGGAGGTTGGGGGCGATCAGGCAGGCAGGCAGGGGAGTGATTAGGAGCCAGCAGTTCCAGATTGCAAGAGGGCAGTTGGACATCTCCTGAGGGTTCCCAGATTGGAGAGGGTGCAGGTCAGGCTGAGGGACACACACCTCTGCCCCGTGCATGAATTTCATGCACTGGGCCACTAGTATAATATATTTTTATTGATTTCAGAGGGGAAGGGAGAGAGATTAAAATATCAATGATGACAGAGAATCACTGATCGGCCTCCTGCATGCCCCACACAGGGAAGCCCACAACCTGGGAGCGTGCACTTATCAGGAATCAAACCCGTGACCTCCTGGTTCATAGGTCAAAGTGCAATGACTGAGCCATGTCGGCCGGGCTAACCCAACTTCTTAAAGTTCACAAAGTTCAAAATCATTTCATTTCAAACAATAGTTAACATGGCTATCCAAATTTTTCTTTAGTACTTTTCTTCAGTGCCCTCTAATGGACATAAGATAAATAAGCAAAGAAAAAATGAACCCACATATTATTCCAAACTCTTAATGTATACTTGAAATTTGCTGAGATTAGATATTAAGTGTTCTTAAGACACACACAAAAAAGGTAACTATGTGAGGTAATGGATGTGTTAATTTGATAGTGACAATCATTTCACAATGTATACATATATCAAATCATCACATTACAATCTTATCAAAAATCATGCTGTACAACCTAAATATATACATTTTTTATTTGTCAATTATGCCTCAACAGAGTTGGGGGGGGAAATTATTCCAAATTCTTCCTTCACTACAAAAAAGCTTTAAATATCTTTTCTAAATCCAGAAATCTATCTATATCAGCTATCTCATGCACTGAAATCTATTCTATCTTAAAACAGTTTTACCACTGAAAATTACTGAGTTTTTTAATCAAAGGCCATAAAATTATACATTTGTTTTGATCTAATATATCAACTTTGGAAAAATATAACCTAAGAAAATATTAATATATTTTTAAAAGTAAAAATGGTCTAGACCCATGCTAGTTATAACAGCAGAAAACCTGAAACAGTAACTAATCTACTCTAGAAAAACATACACTAGTAAGCCAAGTAAAAATGTGTAAGCAAACTTACTGCTCATTCTAACATCTGTCAGGCTTTTAGAGATTTGACGCATTTTCACATTAATGATATGGATACACCTTATGTTTCACAACTGCACAATATTATATTTTATGGATATACCATGCTTTTTTCAATCAATATCAGACAATTCTTTGGTATATATGCTGTGAAGCATAACCTTGTAAAGATGCTGTTTTGCATTTGTGAAGATTTATCTTCAAGGCAAATTCATACCCAGGCCTGCTGGATCATGGGTAAATGTGGTAAATTTGGTCAAGACTGCCAGAGGGCACTCCATACATGTTATATCATTCTGGACCCCCTTTGGCAAGGTGTGAGTGGCTATTTCCCCAGAGCCTCACCAATTGTGTGTGCTGCCCAATTTTTGAATTTTTGTTATTTTGCTATGTGAGGAATGTAGGTCACTGCAGTTTAAATTTGAGCACTTTTTCATGTTTTTAAGTCCATATGTACAGCTTTTTCTGAGACTTACCTATTCATGTTTTTGCCATTTTTTTCTATGAGGTTTAGGTCTTTTTTTTTAATTGAAATATTTTCCCTCACTTTATCATTTGTCTTTTGATTTTGTTTATAGCCATATAAATCTTTATAAAAAATCACTGGTAAATTCAATCTTTTATAGTTTCTGGATTTTGAATATTGAAAACCTTTCTCTAAATTAAAAAATAGAGCATCTAGTTCTACTATTTATATATTTTTTCAACATTTAGATCTCTGATCCAATTAGAGTCAAATACCTGTACGTGATGTATGTATAAGTACAGAGCCAGTTTCATCTTTTCACAACTAGTATCTAATTGTCAACATCATTTATTTTAAAAGTATATTTCACACTAGGGAAAAGAGATGCCACCTTTATCACATAAGCAATTTCTGTATATACCTGGTCTATTCCCCGAATTTTACTCTTCCCTTGGTCTGTCTGTCTCACCAGGAGCTAGTACCAGATGTCTTGTAGTAAGATGCAATATCTGATCGATCTGGCCTTTCTCATTACTACTTTTCCCACAAGGTTTTCCTAGCTATTCTTGCATGTTTATTTTTCCACATGAATCAACCAGTCTATCTCCAGAATAAAAATTTATTGAAATTTTTAATGAATTGCATCATACCTATGTATGTATTAACTTAAAAGAACTGACATCTTTGCAGTACTGAGTAATCATACCCCAAAACAAGATGTCTTTCCATTTGTTCAGGGTACTGCCATATCTTTCAGAAACGTTTTAAAGTTTTCCTCACATAGATTTACGGTATTTTTTTTAATGTATTTCTACGTAGTCATTTATTTTTTGTGTGGTCTTTCCTTCCATGACAAGTTCTAACTGGTTATTGTTTGGAAATACAAAAACTTACTTTTTATCCTGCTACCTTATTAAATCTCTTCATTAGAGTTTGTATTAATTTTATGATTGATTTTCTTGGATTTTTCCATAGTTTTACTTATTTTGTTTCTAACACATGCACTTGATACATTTTTAGTTTAGAATATTCTTATTTCCCAAAACTCACACATAAATTGAGATTTTATATTTTTATATAATTGTATACTTTATGTTATTTCAATTTTAGATCACTGGAATCTGCCCAAAATCCTGCATTCTCGCATTCGTTTAGTCACTGAGACAATGACAATTCACACTAACATTTCCTAGATTCTTCGGGCCTCCACCCACACTGATCTCAACACCTGCAGACTGAGCTGCCATCATCCCTAAGCTCAACATGCTCAGTCTGCAAAACAGGGAAGCAACTTTACACAAGAGCTCTACCTGAAATCGTAACACTAATCGATCTTACCATGCAGTCATCCTGTCACCTTCAGCTACCCAATGAATGAAATCCCCCCTATCATCTAGCCTTTCCTCAGTTCTTGTCCTAAAAGTCTTCTGCCTATCCTACTACGAACTCATTTTCACAGGGCCAAGAGGGAAGACTTTCACAGAGTTCATGTAAAAGTAGCAAAAAAGTATAAAACTCTCAAGACAGGAGGCAAGTAAATAAAACTGTCCAATTATGAGCTCAGGTGGACTATACCCCAATACAGAATGCTAGATATTAGTCCACTGGAAGATCCCAGTTCATTATTTCCCAAAATTACAGTACCTTTTCTTTCTTGACATGATTCATAATGTTGCCGAGGTCCTCAACATCAACCACAGAAGTTAGACTCTGGTGGTCCTCAGTACCAGACTCTTCCTCACTGGAACTCTCAAAGGGCTCCTCCTCCTGGAACATCAATGCTTTAGAAATATATTGCTCAAAGTAGCAAACCATCTACTATCCCCTCCCAAATTCTGAGGTCACTGGGTGGATATCAAATATTTTTGGCTAGAGGTCAGCAAACTATGACCCACGGGCCAAATCCAACCAGCCTCCAGTCAATCTGAAGGTGCTCATCATTTTCATAGTAACTATGGATACTTTCTTGATACAACAGCAGAACTAATAGTTGCAAAAGAAACTACATGGCCCACAAATACTTGTACATGAATGTCATAGCAGTATTATTCCCAATAGCCAAAAAGAATAATCAAAATGTCCATCAACAGATAAATGGATCAATAAAATGTGATATATCCATACAATGAAATATTATTCAGCCATTAAAAAGAAATGATGTACTGATCCATGTATAACATGGATGAATCTCCAAAACATTATATTAAGTAAAAGAAGCAAGACAAAAAAAAGGTCATATATTATATTATTCCATTTGTATAAAATATCCAGAATAAGTAAGTCCATAGAGACAGAAAGCAAATTGGAGGTTGTCAGGGCTGGGGGAAAGCGGGGGAAGAGTGCCCGCTTCATGGTTTGCTTCTGAAATAATGAGAAGGTATTGAAACTTGATATAGGTAGTGGTTGCACAAAATTGTGAATATACTAAATACCACTGGATTATAGACTTTAAAATGATAATTTTGTTATGTGAATTTTACCTCAGTACTTTAAAAAATTTTTAAATATATTCAAAGCGAATTATAAGGGAAAATAAGCAAAAAGACTGGCTAGAAAAAGAGAACAGAAAAATGAAACAGCAGCTGAAAGACAGAACAAAGGAAAGATTTGTTGTTTACTTCTCTTTGTTTAAACATAGGTGATTCCAGAGCATGTTTATGTATTTACTAGAGGCCCGGTGCACGAAAATTCATGCACTGGGGGGACTGGGGGTCCCCTCAGCCCGGCCTGCCCCCTCTCACAGTCTGGGAGCTCTCAGGAAATATCCTACTGAGACTCAGGCCTGCTCCCCTCTGGCCTCTCTCTGCAGGAGGCGATCGGCCAATCAGGGGAAGGCGCCACCCCCATCACCCCGCTGCTGCTGCCACTGCCGGCTGTCGGCACTCCTCAGCCCTCGTAGCTGCTGCAGCTTTGTCCAGAAGGACGTCTGGAAGACGTCTGGTCTATCCAGTCTAATTAGCATATTACCCTTTTATTAGTATAGATGGGAATGATCTAGTAGAGAGGAAAAGATTAACAACTCAGGAGAGAGAGATGCAATGAAGAAAGGAACCAAAGTCCTTGATTCCAGAGCATGCACAGAAAGTGGTCTTTGAAAAACCCAGATACCTGTCTTCTGGGACAGAAAAGATGGTGAAAGTTTGTAGGTAGGGCAGGGGCTCTAAGAGAATTCTTCTCTAATGGCTCCATCTGAGAGCTAGAGGAAGGGGTAACAAGAAAGAGGTATTAAACAGTCATCTTGGAGAGTGAGAAAGGGAACTTACAAGAGAATGCAGGAGACTGTTGGGAAGTTCTTAAATCATACTTGAATCTGTGGTCATGAATCTGTGGTCAAACAGCAAGCAGCAGGCAATGGAGAAGGCACACAGCAAGTTTCACATGGCTTGGAGTTCAGCCAATTGTGTTGTAAAATGGAGTGGAAGGCAAGGCAACTGAAGATGTTTATAAAATAATTATAAAATCTAAATTGGGTAAGGAAAGAAGGGAAACAAGCATTCTTCACTATCCAGTGAAAAATGTATAGGATCAAAAGAATTTTAAAGTAGGAGCACTGGAAAGAGGTTAGAGTTTGGGTCACAAGAACGTGTAATTTCAAAGGTGACCACGCGAGTGAGAGGCCACAGTCAGTGAGAGGCCACGAACTGGACAGGTTGTTAGAGAAATCATCAACATGCATGACTAGCCACTAAGAATAATGATAGGAACAGTGTGGAGAGTAAGACAATGAGTGTCAGAATGTGAAGTTGTTACTGAATGACACAAGTGACAGGTGGCCAATGCACAACAGCTGTGAGACAGCCTAAAGACATGGCCTTCAGTGAACTCGGGGTATCTGAAGGAAGAGAAATGTTTAGAATGTAAGGGATGAAAGAGATGAATCTAGGATGACTTACAGCCTTTAAGTTAGAGTGACTAATAGTCATTAAATAAGAGCAGTCAGGAGGAATATGTGATTTGATGATAAACAAGAGCTCAGGCCAGGACATATTTAATTTCTCGGGGGCCTCTGTTTCCTAGCCTGCAAATTGTGGTAGAAATCTATTTGACTCCAGCAATGCAACCATTACAGAAGAGATACCAGAAAGCATCCAGCACAACACTCTGTAAGACCACACTCTCTAAAACACCCCCACACGGGTTTCAGACCTTCCTTCCAACCAGTAGCCAAATAGTTTCTCAGGGCAGAGGTGAGGTTTAGCATCTCCAAACACAGGAGGAAAGCAGAGAGACATGGACACACAGGCTACACACCTCAGGGTCTCTCTGCTGTAATCCATCCTGAGTATGAGATCCTAGCTCCATTTCCTCTGAGCTACGCTGATTAGATTCACATTTGCCTTTCTTGCAACTGCCATCACAGGATTTCTTCTCTCCTTTACAAAGCACCTGGAGCTGGGAGATGAACTTGGTCTTCCACGCTCTGAAGTCGGCTTCAATGCTGCCATGTTTGCTTTTAACGACATTGCAGTCGCCCTCCCCTCGAGTCATCACGCGACGAGCACCGAGCATCCAGAGCCACTTATCAACGTTCTTGCCAACCTGCAAGAAAAATGGATGAGCTAAAAACACAATATAAATCAGCCTGCAGTACCTGTGGGACCCCTGCTGCTGCTGGGAAGAGGGAACTGCTTAGACAAAAGGCTCTGGGCCCTCTGTTCCCAGCCACAACCCACAAGGGCACTAGGGCTGCAGTTGATACATTATAAGATTCTGCAAAAGGTGTTTTTTTTAACAAATGGACAAATCTTTTTAGTAAACTAAGAGTTAATGCCTTAAAAATAATTGAAAACCACTATTCTAAGTAATGTCAGAATAAAATATCTAATTAGCAAAACAAATTTGTTCCAAAATGTAACAAAGTCTATGGGGCAAAAGCCCATTTAATAACAATGTGCACATGGAGTCCATTTAGCAAGACTCATCTACACTAATAAAAGAGAAAAATGGTAATTGGCGTACGAAGCTACCCTTTTCATTGGCTAATCAGGGCTATATGCAAATTAACTGCAAACAAGATGGCAGTTAATTTGCATATGTAGACACAATGCAGGGAGGCGAAAGGGAAAGCAGGAAGAAGCCCCCTGCCACTGACAGTGATCGGAAACCCAGGGGGGAGCTAAGAG